GTTGGTTTCGGTTTTAATTTTTCTCTTCCGGTTTGGAACTGGCTTTGGCTGTCCTGAACTGATTAGACCCGAACCGATTATATATACCTGTTTTGTTACTTCATATGTAATATAAATATTTGTCAATTTATTGTGGCCTTTTTCCGGTCGGCATCAACTTTGATATTTATTGTAGTCTATTTATAGGTTGATTTTTACCATGATTAGTCACATTTAACAAGTTATTGAATAAAATGTTTCTTTTTTTCTTATAAAAAATGTAGGTCTTAAGTATTAGCATAATTTTTTATTTAATCGGGTCCAATTAAGTTAGATCCAATTGTCCCGGTTACTCATTGGTTTGGTACCGGTTTTGAAAAAATAAAATCGATCGGGTCTGGTTCAATTTCAGTACAATCAGTTTAGAATGATTCTACCCTATCCCGAACCAGATCCAAACCGTTGACAGCCCTATGTAAGTGCATCCATCGATCTACTTATTCCTTTTACTAAGACCTTATTTTCAACAAAAGTTTATTCTCCTTAATTTTGGTGATTTCTATTAACCAATCCAGAACATATTTAATTGAATTTGCACACTTCCCAAACTGATAATTGTTTTTGCAAAGTAGGCAAGGCCAAATCCCTTTGAACTTGTTCTGGGTGGAGCAAATGAGACTCTGCCCAAAAAGGAAGAAACAACAAATTTCTGATAGATATACACCCTCACAAATGTGAGCATTGACAACAGGAAAACATTAGGTTGGCATCAACTTCTGGTTCAAAATCAATGCATAATGCACAATGACTCAAATGGTATTGTCTTGGTCTCATGTGATGTTTGTAACACACATCAATTGCAAGATAGACAATAATTAAGCCTGTGATAAAGCACTAAGAAAATTTATTTTTATTAAGTCTAAATCAAGAAGAATCATGGGTGATTAAAAGAAAAAAAAAAAGAAATTTTGATACACTATCTATGAATAGTGAACAACCTTAGCTAGAGCATACAACTACTACTTTACTCATGCATGCATAGATATCTTTGATTCCTTACATGTTGTAGTTAAACCATATATTGTAGAAATTGGAGAAGTATTAAAAATGTTAAAAAACATTCATCAAAGACCAAGGAAATAAATACACAATGTTAATAGTATTCTTATATTACTATAAGTTTCAGAGCTTGATAGCAAGCATATATTATCAATTCAAATTCAATCCAAAAAAAAAAGAACCTATATACCAACCAATTCCAAATTCAGTTTCCTTAAAATTTTAACTAATATACCCAATAGTCCAAAACTATTAACAAAAGAAAGAGTAATACGGTATGCAAGGTTTCAAATATCGATACATACCGATACGTCAGATGGGGCGTATAGTGTTTCAACCCCACATTTTCCTTTTTTTTTATTATTATTATTTTTTTTTTTACAAAACCTGTTCAGAGGGTCAGTCTTTGGTGTATGGTGACCCACCGATATGAATCGATACATGATGAAAATTTGAACCTTCACTACTACACTCATTAGTTGTTGGGTTGTAGTTGTAGTGAGCTTTCAAAGGGTTTAATTCCATTTTCAGAGTATGATGAGTATGAAAGGGACCTCCCTCCTTCCTAGACATTTCAAAGCTTAAAATACAAACCAAACAGAAAATAAGAAACAAACTCAAATATTACCTACAATGTGGACCTCTTCCTCTATTAAATCTGATATCTTCATTGTCTCTTTTTTAAGAGTGGTAGAAATCAACATTTCGGATTTGGATGAAAGGTGGAAAGATATAGTTTTCATACTGGTCCTTAATTAGACATTGATGACCGAGTGAAGTAGAGATGTTCAGAGAGATGTGGAAAAGGAGAAGGATGAGGTGTGATGGAAGAGTCTCATGGCTTCAAGTGAGTTGCCTTATTTAGAAGTTGTTTGGAAAGGTGAAGCAATTAAGAAGTCAAGAAGTTGAAAAATGTTTGAATATATGTTCCATTAATAATAAAACAACCTAATGAATTTACAACATTAACCCTATTATAAAAGAAAAAAAGTATAATATATAGGGGCATTTTTATCATAGAAAAGTCCAGAAATTGAGACCCATTATATTGTTTCTTAGGGGATAGGACATGAGCGTACTGGTTCTTATTCCTGACCTTTAAGGCTGTATTTGGTTTGAAAGAAAAGGTAGGAGAGGGAAAGGTAGGGATGTCTGTACAAATTTTGTACATATTTCCTTACCTTAAACCTTATATTTTCTTTCAAATCAAACAGGCTGTAAGGTTTTTTTTTTTTTTTTTTTTTATTGACTAAGTGTACCCTTATAGTTTGAAAATTGACTAACGCACTAACTCTACCATTACCATTAGGTTCTGTTAGTATTCCATTAAAACTCATAGGCACATGACATATAGTTTTTTTAAAAACCCAATTTTACCCTCTGCCTCCGACCTCTCCTTCTTTCTCTCTCCTTTCTGCATTGGCCTCTTCTCTCTCTCTCTCCTTCTTTTTCCCTCTTTCTCTCCTTTATCCTAAATAAGGGAGATCCGCCGCTTGGTCCGGCTAAAACACAAAGGAAAAAAAGGAGAATAGGGGAGATCCGCTGCTGCTCTCCGTCGGTGATTGCTGCTATTGCGGTTGCCATTTGCACACCAACACATAGGAAAAATAGGAGAACGGGGGAGATTTGCCACTACTCTCCATCGCTTGGTCCAGCTAAAACACATAGGAAAAAAAAGGAGAACAAGGGAGATCCGCCGCTGCTCTTTGTTGCTTGGTCTGGATAAAACACACAGAAAAAAGGAGAACATGGGAGATCCGTCACTGCACTCCGCCGGTGGTTGCTGCTATTGCGGTTCCAACAATTCCGACGAAGAGAATGAGAGAGAGGGAGAGATCTGCCTAAGGAACCCAGATCTGAGTATCTCTCATATTCTCAGGTCTGCAAGGAACCTAAATCTAAAATCTAAGAGATACTCAGATCTGAGATCCGATCATCATCCGCCATTCCGACAGTTCCAACAAAGAGAATGAGAGGGATAGGGAGAGATCTGAGTAAGGAACCCAGATCTGAGATATGAGATCTCGTTATCATTCACCATTCCAGCAGTTTCAGCAAAGAGAATGAGAAGGAGAGGGAAAGATCCGAGTAAGGAACCCAAATCTGAGACTTGAGAGATGCTCAGATATGAGATCCATTCGCCGTTCCGATAGTTCCAGTGAAGAAAATGAGGGGGAGAGGGAGAGATCCAAGTAATCTATAATAGAGGGTAAAATAGTCTTTTTCATATCTCTATTGATGCACGTTAATAATTAAGAAAGATTAATCGATTGTCAGAAACAATAGGAATAACCTTAGTCAATTTTCAAACAATAAAAATACACTTAATCAATTAACTAAACCAGTTTAAAAAATTTACCTATTAGTTTTTAGTTTGTTATATAAAAATTAAAGTTATTAAACAACGACAAAGCTGAAGCCATTGAATCTGGAAAAACATTGGAAATACATGAAATGAAATGATGATCGAATGGTCTGACCTATCCGAGTAGCTGAATAAAATTAAAATTTAATTGTCCTCGTCAAGGTTTGCAGGTTGGTAGTCATTAACGTCCCAAATCATGAATATGTCGGGCAATACTTGGCTCTACATAGTACGTACCCATTGGAGAACATGCCACCTATTAATTTTCAAATTTAAAGCCTGGAACCTAAATCCTAATTCCTAATCCAAAAATTTAAATTTTAAACCTTAAATCTTATAAACCCTAATCCTAAACCTTAAACCTATAATCTAAAATCTAAATCCTTAAACCCTAAAACTTAATTCCCTAAACTCTAACCCTACGTTTTAAATCCTAAAATCTAAATTTTACTCTTAAACCCTAAAATCACTAAATCCCTAAACCTTAACTCAAAATCTTAAATTTATTGTATAAAATGTCGTAAGTTGGACCACCTTAACTCAAAATCCCATGCCCTCCAAGGGGGTAGGAGCCAGGTATCATGTGAATATGCCACTCCCATTGTCCCACCTCTCTTGTAATTGTTTTAGAAATTAAGTATTGTTTTTAGGTAAACCTCTTAAATTATTCCTACTGTTTGCGAAATTGACCAACTATATCTTTATGGCCTTAAGTACCCTTAAGTTTTCTGACAATTGACATGCTGATAAACACTAAAGGAAAAAATGAAATATCGAATTTATCCTTCACTATTCATCAAATTTTCAAAATAAAACCCAACTTCCAAATGCAAATATGGCAGAATGGTGGTTGACTCTGGAACGATGTTTACTATGTTCCCAGCCCGGTTGTATAAAACAATGGTGGCCAAGTTCAACTGCCGAAGAGCAGATGGGACTTGGTTCGTGTTATTACTACGAATCAATTAAGAACCGGAGAACTCAAGTCATCATAGACTTGTCAATCAAGTCATCATAGATATATCCAGGCTTCTGTGTTTTTGGTAAGTAGGCTTGAACCCAATGTTAGAATTGAACCGAAGCACCAAACCATAGTGCTAGTGCAAAAGGGTAGTGGAATACAGAGCTTCATATTGGAATGACTAAGTGTTTGGTACCCTTTATGTTTATTGAATAAACAATGGTACCCTTTTTATTACTACGAATAAAAAGGAACAGATTGCAATCGTTTATGACAACTGGGCGCCACTAGGCGCCACTTCAGCGTAACAGTGAATAAACGCCTGGCCGTTTATAGAAGTTTCAAAAAATAACTTCTAGAAACGGCTGACATGCACATAAATCAAAGTTCACCTTTTACATTTTTTATGTATATATAAAAACAAGAAAGAGAAAATGCTGAGATGACGCCTATGTGGCACCATCAATAAACATTTATTGAATAAACGTAACGGTACCAAACATCACCTAAAGGTTTTCATATCTACATGTGTGAACTTAGTCAATCTGTTCCTTCCCTAGCGACTCAAATTCCAAATCCCACGACTATAGAATTTTGAAGAATACATGCTTATCATCAATCTAAATTTTACGCTGCCATACCATGTCTTTCTTTTATTTACAAGAACGAAAATGAAATCCCATCCAAGAGTTGGTTACCCTCTAAATTACAGCAGTATCAAATTGAATTCGGAAAGAAAAAAGAAAAAGAAAAAAAGGAAAAAAAAAACTTCAGTCCACCTCCCAGGATGGAAAAGAAAAATATCAGCCGAATTCTCCAACCTAAAAAACAAATAGAGAATCAGCTTACATCCGTCAGCTCCAACAGTTGGTGGAAGACCCAAAAAGAAAATATATACACCTAGACTAAGTACAGATCAGAAGCTAAAGCAGAGTCCCCCCTTGCTCCCTAGAATCAGTTCAGTCCTCCAAGAAACTACTTAAAACCACAAATCAGGAAAATCCAATTGCAGCAATCCTTGCTCGTCATACTCGTATAGCCCATACCCATCATCTCCCTCTAGTTCAATGGGATTCAGCAGCTGATACAATAAATCCGATGGACTTCCACGCTGCAATTTTTCAGAGCCACCTAATTGATCGTACTCATTCTTCAGTCCTGGCCCAGGAGTATTTGGACCCAGCATCCCAATAGCTCCTCCATATCAAACAGTTCTTCCAATGAAAAGTTCTGCGCATCATCAAAATGATTGCATCCACTCTCACTGAACTGAGTCAAGTGACCAGAATTTATTGGTCCTTGGGTGATCCCGTACCCTCAGAATTGTTCAGGATTCATGGGTTCCACAGGCTGCTCTTCCTTCGGCTCTTGCTTAACTATATTCATTAGTGCTGGCGCAGCTGCTTCCATTGCAGTACAAGGCTGACTGTAAATCCCCAACTCACACTGCTCTGGCTTAGGTTCTACCTTTGGGAGATTCACCTTCAATTCCTCAGCTAAGCAAAATTCAGAATAGCTGGATGAAGTGGTAGCTGAGTATGAAGATTCCATCGATGCAGAGCTTTCAGGAAAGTTGAGACGTGCACAACGACCATACATGGTTCTGGCAGCCTCATCGTAAGCAAGAGCAACTTCGAGAGCGGTGGAGAAGGTTCCCAACCAAAGCCGACTTCCTCTGTTCGGTTCTCGAATCTCGGTGACCCACTTCCCCATGTTCGCTGCCTGACGCCTCTGTAGTTAGGCAAAGCCGGCTCCATGGGAATCACTTGTTTTCTGCCTCTACAATCGTTCTCCCCAACCATCATCACCGTTAAGAGGAGAGCTCCGTTCAGAAGTTGCAATGGCCGCCGTAACCTGTGACGACGATACCATAATCACCGCCAGGCGCCACTGCTGCAACTTCTACCAGTGGTGGTGAACAAAAAGGGTATTTTAAGAATTTTAAAATACCCTTTTTGTTAAGAGATTTACCCTTTTTTTTTAATCAAAATGAAGCAACTTTGTTGTAGAGATTTGTATAGATAGAGCCTCCTTGAACTTATATGTTATGGCCAGCTGGCCTTTACAAGCTGTATATGCTAGAGTATGAGCAATTGTGTTTCTAGATCTATTTACAAAAACAAAAGATACTTTAACAAAACATTTGCAGATGGTAGTGAGTTTGGCCCAGTGTAGCTGCTCAATCCATTCAAGAGGTTTACTTTTACAAGTTTCTAAATATCGATGGCGTATTGGCCTATATCAGTTTTTTTTTTTTTTTGTTTTATTTATTTTTTCAAAACTGATTCAAGGTTGGGTTAAGTCTCGAATACTCTCTAAACCATGGTCTGACTCGATACACCACCTGTAGAGGCATATCAAAAAAGCCCCGATACAATACATATTGACCAATACAAGTCGATACATGATGAAATTTTGATCCTTGAATCAAAAGAACCATCAACTTGGAATATGTTTGTTAGATGAGTATTACGAGACTGTTGTAATGTTACTAGTGGCTCTTGATGAGGGAAAACCGACCTCGGAAAGCATGTATGTCCATGTAGAACATTTGTCCTTAGTGAGGATTCCGTCCCATAGGAATTTCCAAATAAAAACTTGGACCCGTGGGGGCAAGTTTTGGATTCCATAGAAATCTCCAATTAAAGAGGGGAGTTGAGGTGGATGGGGTTAGATCCATTAGGTATTTGTATACACATGAAACAGTAAGTTCCTCTTTTGGAGCTTTGGTCCAGACCATGAGATCTGATTCCATTTCTGGATTTGGATGTAAGTATATGATGTGTGGTATTTGTGATGAAGTGATAGTATCCCTCAACCTTTGTTGGTTCCATGTACCATCCAAATGCAACATATCGACTATTTTCATGTCTTCTAATAGTCAAAAGATGATGTAAACTTTTGTATCAAAATCTTAACAGTTTGAAGGCTATTTGGTTAAGGCACGTCTACTCACATGTTTTTCTGTGCAAAGATGAGTTGAAAAAAAAGGCAAAAATCTCCATTTGGATCTTTTCAAAAATATCCTAAAATGGGGTTCTCGTGTCTTTTTGGGGATGTGGTTTTCAACGGCTAGATTTTTTCCCAACCAAATGGGAAAAGACCAAAGCTTAGGTTGCCGGGCTTCTAAAAAACTGACAACCCGCATGAAAATACATGCCAAATAGGGCCTAAATAAAGCTTTGTTCATATGTTCACTATGGCGAAAACCAAGTTCCCTTACGCTTTTGGTAGGCACAATTTTGACCAACCTATTGTGTGCCTTGTGTTTTTCTTTGAAGTTACCCACCAGTAATCTCGGGCAATTCTCTATAATGTGGAATGAATATTTTGTGGTAGAAGACTCGTTAACATTTGATATGAGGGTATTGATTGAGCTACTACCTTGATAAGGGTAGTTTTCCCGGCATAGGAGAGGAATTTAGAACTCCAAGAGTTTACTTTAGATTGAATTCTATCTTGAATATTTTGATGGGAGGAACATTATTTGTCTTTCAAACCAATCCTTGCCCCCAAGTATTTTGAACCCACCATGGATTTTTTGATGTGAAGAGCCGCTTGAATGAATTTTTGGTGTTGCCTTGCAACGTTTTAGCTGAAGAAAATGAATGACTTTCCATGATTTAAACTTTGTCCTAAGAGAAGTTCAAAATCTTTTAGAATCTTAGCAAGAAGTCTCACTTGAGAGAGATCCTATTTACAGAACAAAATGCCATCATCTGCGAAGAGAAGATGAGAGATTGCTTGACCATCACGACTAAGTTTTACTCCTTGTAGTTCACCCTGCGATCATGGTTCAAAAAATTGATACGATACGGGAGTATCGTATTGTTTGGGTCCCGAAACACCTGTATTTAATAAAAAAACCCATTTTTAGCTTTCAAAAAACCAAAATTTGAAAAAAAAAACTAAAAAAAATGTATTTCCATGTGTTTCTAAGTATTGATACGCCTCTGCGTATCGGCAGAGGCATATTGATACTTTGAACCATGCCTGTGATATGGCCTTATTTAGCAACTGGCTTAGAGCTTCCATGCATATTATGAATAGGTAGGATGAGAGTGGGTTGCCTTGCCTGAGCCCTCTATTTAAATGAAAATGCTCATGAACTTCACTTCCCAATTTGATCAAGTGAGTGTAGAGATGCATTGAAATGTGAGGTTACACCACTTTTCTCGAAAATTCATTTTTTTTTGAGAATTTCCTTTATGTAATTCCACCTGGAAAATCCATTTTTTTTTGAGAATTTCCTTTATGTAATTCCACCCCATATGGTTAAAAGCCTTTGACATGTTGAGTTTGACTGCCACGTGGCCCTTCCCTTTCTTATGTGTCCTCATAAAGTGTGTGATTTTCTTGACTAGGAGGATGTTATTTGTCTGTTCTTTAGGAAGCTAGCTTGTGAAGGAGAGATGAGATCCTATAGGATTGGTTGTAATCTCTTGACGGGCCATTTTGAGATTATCTTGTATAGTACGTTGTAGAGACTAATGGGCCAAACTACATTTTGGGATGAAGACCAGGTTGGTGTTATTTATCTCCTTTGGTAGTTGCTCTGTTTGAAAGAAATCCTTGGCCATGGCATGTATGTCCTTCCCAATTATGCCCCAATGTTTTTGATAAAAATAGGTTGTGAAGCCATTTGGGCTTGGGGTTTTATGGGGATTTATTTGTTTCACCACCTCAAAAACTTCCACTTTTGTGGTTGTCAAAGAGAAGGGATTCAATTTGGTGTTGCTGAAGTTGGGGAAAGTTGGGGGGGGGGTTAAGGCTGAAATTTCAAAGGATTCGGGGGAGCTCCTTTAATTTGTTGAATGGATTGCAAAAATAACTTGGATACTTCTTTTTTGTCAGAGGTCCAATTACCATCTGATGTTCCTTCGTCTGGCAACTTGGTGAAAAAAATTTGTATTTTTATCACCCTCTATAAGCCATAATTCTTTGGACTTTAACCTCTAGAGTTGTTCTTCTTTTTGTAACCAGTAATGGTACTGGTTTTGAAGGGAGCTCAACTCATTTCTTGATACAGATATTTCTGTGCGAACCAGCCCAAAGTGAAACCCAATCCACTTTCCACGTGCTCGACTAGGGATGTGAGATTCCAGCTTGCCCTCTGCCACCTTTCTGTTATTTCTTTCTTTTGCCATTTTTCTGTTATTTACTTTTTCTTTTCAATCATGGTTGTTGGTATTTTCTATCATTGGGTGTAATGGCTTGCTCTATATATATTCCTCCATGAATGAAGGAAAGGCATCGTCTAATTTGAAACTCAATCCTTGTGTTCATATTTCTAGATGAGCGGTGCCTAGCACCATAGTTCACCGAGGCAAGAAACGGTTCACTTCTTGGTTATGGGAAGAAGTCAAAACCATTCTGATATTAGAGCCACTGCAGCAAAAGACTCTCGACAGTAGTGTGGAATGAGCCCAGGAGGAGTTTGGAATGAGCCCAGGAGGAGTTTGGAAGGAATCAACGGGACTTTAACCATCATCTCGATGAAGTGGTGAGCAAGCTGGACCAGTTGTTAGCAGGTGATGGGCCATCGCATTGTGTGACACCGGAGGTGTCACAAGTTTGTGTGGGGGAGTCTGCACCAGTGGGAGGCTTAGAGAGTAACAACTACTGCCGGCTTAAGGTTGATCTACCCAAGTTCGATGGTAATAATTTGGACAGATGGCTGATATTTGTTAAACAGTATTTTGAATTGCAAGAAATACCTGTGGAGCAATGGGTGTCGGTGGCTAGTTAGGGCTTTGATGGAAGGGTCGTTGAGTGGTACTGTTGGTACAAGGACCTATACCCCGAGCCAAACTGGAGGCAATTTGTAGCTGCACTTGAAAGTCGGTTCAGCGGTCCCTTGGGCTCCAATGTTGCCGGAAGGTTTGCCAAGCTCGCTCAAACTTCATCAGTTCAAAATTACATAGAAGATTTCCAATGTCTTTCAAGTTGTGTTAAGGGGTTGTCCGAAGAGTTTTTGGTCTATTGTTTTGTAGTGGGCCTTCGTCCTGACATCAGAGCGGGTATGGAGAAATTTGAACCTGTGACCTTGGCAAGAGCAATACGACTACCATTGCTCGAGGAAGAGGAGTTCTATCCTGGGCGTAAGGTTTGGAAGTCTAAAGCACTGAAGCCAAACTTGAACCCCATACCTGTTTTGACTACTGCTGCAACAACTAATTCTAAGATACGGGAGGTTAAGAAGCTTACACCAGTGGAAGTTCGGGAGAGGAGGGCGAAAGGTCTCTGCTATAATTGCGATGAGCCTTACCACTCATAGCATAAATGCAAGTCTCGGACATTGTTTTGGATCGTGGGGGATCCAGATGATGGTGACGAGATTCAGGCATCAGGAGTAGAATTTGACATGCATAAACTCTTGTGGGTGTTGGATCTTCTAATACCATGAGAATACAAGGTACCATCCTTCAACAACATTTGTTGGTATTAATTGATAGTGGGTCTACTAATAATTTTTTGGACCCCAAGGTGGCCCACAAGGCTAATTTGATTGTAGTAGAAAAAAAACCGTTCTGTTCCATGTGATTATGGCTAATGGTGAGAAGTTACAAGGAGTAGGAAAGTATTAGCGAGTGCCCCTAAAGTCACAAGGTGTGACCATTATGGTTGATTGTTTTCTATTGCCCTTGATTGGGTATGATACTGTGTTGGGTACCCAATGGTTGGAGACATTAGGCCTAGTTCTTTGGGATTTCTCTTGTTTACAACTACAGTTCAAAGACTCGACTAGTACACACACCCTGAAGGGTTTACAGACTGAGGAGCCACAGGTTTGTGGAG